TATGTTTAATATATATTATGCCTATTTTCTGGCCTAAATAAATCTGATTGAAATATTAAAATAATTTGACTGAAATTGTAAGTAATTTGACTAAAATTTTAAGTATAGGACTGAAATTTTAAGTAATTTGACTGAAATTTTAAAGTAATTTGACTGAAATTTTGATGTAATTTGACTGGAATTTTCAATATATTCATGTGTTTCAATGTCTATTTCTAAACTATTATAGCACGAACGGGTAGCTCTTTATCTAAATCTTACATATTATGCATCTTTAAACAGGTATCAGACTCCCTATTGTACTGAGAGCTTAATGTAGAGAATGTCACACAAAACACAAGGCCGTATTAAGCTTGTCTGTGGCACCTAACTAAAAATATCACTTGGGCTCTTTTATCAACAGTGAAAAGGGGGCATATTCTGGCCATTGTCCGTCATACACAGAGACAATTTGTATGTTGTATGTCAGCAAGGTATAAGAGCGATTTGCCACGACCCCCCACCCACCCAACAAATAAATAAAAAATAAAACATAAATAGATAAATAAAATGAACAAATTATAAATTATATGCTTTACATAAAAATGCAGAGATAACACAAACGTCTGTAAGTGGTCCTATTTCCACTGTGATCTCTATATTTATTCCGCAAAAAATGTGTTTTTAGATAGCTAAAACCCAATTGTCTGTGATATCAACCTAGGGGAAAGTGGACGTTAAAGCCAAGTCAGCAGAAACTATGAAACTTTGATGACCTCGAACAAGTTTACCGGACTTCTTTTTACTTTAACGATTGTATAGAAATAACCCAACCAGACCCAGTCCAGCTTCAGACACACAGGACCCTTGACCCTCTTAATTCAAACAGCAACATCCCCCCCATCCATTTCCAAAACTGAAACAGGTTCTATTTACCAAAATAGATGTAGAGTTTCTCTTTAAAGCTTGACGAAGCCATTGATTGGAATTTAAACCAAGAGTATATTATAATATCTATATAAATAAAATTTAAGATATCTGTGTGTATGTATGTATGTATGTATGTATGTTCGCCCATCACGCTTCATCGCCGCGCTCCACTCCCACATACACGTATGTGGTAACAAATAAACAAGCATGACTCTGTGAATGTTTTAAGCCATCGAATTTGGACCCTGGTCGAATTTGGGCCATTGGCGAATTTGGGTCCCGTGTGACTTGGGCCTGGTTCCCGGGCGAATCACGCTTCGTCGCCGCGTCCCACCCCCACATATTTGGTATCAAATTAACCAGCATCAATGTTTTAGGCCATTGAATTTGGGCCCAGTGCGAATTTGAATATGTGGCGAATTAGGCCCCTGGCGAATCTGGGCCCCGTTCGAACAAAACCGGGTATTCTGCTAGTATATATATATAATTGGTCTATGGACATTTATTTCATCTCATAACTCCTTTATATATAGTATTATTGTCAAACTATGCAAATTAATGTCATATTATGTATTATATACTTTATAACCCTTTGTTATACGTTAACTAATATTATTTATAATCCACCCATTGTCATGGAAATCTATTATTATACGAATGTATATATGTATGATCAAATTTTAATATTTTGTATAGATTATCTATATCTGAAGACGTATATAGAGGGCAGACAGCTAGCTTATATGATTTAGTGTATGTCAGTGAGAAGTAAAGTGGAGAGTTTTTTGCATGGACATATGTTTTACTTATTTGTGTATTTATCTAGTATAAACATAGAAGTACTTGTACTTTATCAACTTTAATATATGTGTTTGGACTTTACAAGACCGCTCTATTGACACACGTATTAAACAGAAAAACATAATATGGAACACAATTACTATTGCAATTAAAGCGAGGGAGAGAGAGAGAGAGAGAGAGAGAGGACTAGGTCATTTCGGGATTAACATATTGTTTAATTTTATTTCAATAATTGACCTGTGTGTAGGGGTCTTTAGCAGTGGGAAGAAACCGGAAGATCCGAAAAAAAACCACGAGGTTAAACAGGCGACGCTACTCCGTGTTGCATGCAAATGTTGATGCATGTAATTTACAGACTTTAATTAGTTGTTATTTGTTTTTGCATATAAACCTGTTTGCATGCGAGGCGTTACTGAATGCCATCCTGTTCGTTTGTCCTTTGCATTCTGTGTGAATGACAGAGTAGTTCATCAGTTTATATGGATCTCCCCTTGTCAGTGGTGCAGGAAAGAGGGTCTGACAAGGACAGCTGTCTAGTCGTTCGGACTCGTGTATACATTGGCGTGCAGGTAAAAGATCCCTTGGCAGCTGGGATTTGATATAAGAGTAGACCATAGTGCCACTGCCCGGGAAGATTTCCCTCATAGCCCACTGTATGGCGTATATGCCCGTCTTCGTTCAACCCCATTAATTTATTTACATTTCATGTGAATGACAGAAAAAGAAATCGTTAGAGGATAATCCAAGAATTGACTTGGACTTCGATATTTATGGTAAATGGAAAGTGAGTAACGAAATACTGTACTACCTAAAGAAATGGACCCTCCCACCAAACACACCGCGCGGAAAAAAACGAGACTGTTTAAAATAGAATTTAGCAAACTGCGGTAGTTTTCTTTCGATTTTAGAGGGATTTAAAGCAAACTTTTGATGTATAAATTAGTTTGAATATGTGTTTACTCAAAATATATATCTTCCAATTACCCAGTCTGCACATGGGCAGACACCTTTAATGCGTTGATCAAAATTATAATTGAGATTCCATTTCAGAAAGGAAAATAATAGAAATATAGGACAACCTATAGAAGAATGAGGACGTCCTGTTATAATTTTAAGAAACGAGATAGCTAGCATGACATGTCAATGTTGTCACGATGATAAAGGGCTGTCTGTAGTTGAAAATAAAATGAAGTGCTTAAAGAGGCAATATCGCTTTTCTGATAGTTACAGGTCAGTAAAACAATCATTTCTTTTTATCGTGATTCGATGTCCGGAGATTCGATTTTTCGGACGAGAAGTGAATGTGATCTTTTTTTTTATTGAAATAATGGAGTTACCCCCCTTTCGTCTAAGATTTGTTCTTGACAAAATGGAGTTGCTTCCCTTTGTGTATTATAAATATAGCTTACATATGCATCGTGTATTGTTTTAAACAAGATGGTCTATAACTTATATCAATTTAGTATTATCTTATCTCATTAATTTCTGTTTTGATTAAATCAAGTATTGTCCTTTAGATTTACTATATATAACCAGGATATTTTTGGCTAAATAATCACCGTAGAGATCGATCCCTAACGACGTGACTTCCAATTCCCCAAGTCTTATAACTTATTTTACGTTTTATTTACCAGGCTTATATGTAATCCTCGATAGTATAGTGGTAAGTATCCCCGCCTGTCACGCGGGAGACCGGGGTTCAATTCCCCGTCGGGGAGATTACACTTTTATCAATCAATCGATCAATTTTATTAACAAGAACTATTACCGTTAACTGAAATTAACATTAATTTTGTGTCAAACTGACCACAGAAGAAGAGGGCCCGGGTTGTTTTAGCAAAATAATATAATGGAGCCTCCAAATAAGCCAAGCATAGGTTATAATACTGAATACCCTGAGGGCAAATGATATGTACAATAACGCATGTATATGTGTATATATTATAGGTTCGTATATTCATATACAACAGCTAAGTAACTCGGCGTTGCGCAGTTGACCTCGGAGTGTTTCTGAACCTCTGTAGGCTAGGTCTTTTGTCTGGCTTCAAATCTTACATAAATTATTATTTAGACATTTGTGCACATGACAAACCTATAATCAACTTTCTAGACCAACCGGTGAGCGAGATCTAAATGGATTAGAACACAGGGGAGAATTTTAAAATTTAACGATAAGCAGTGGGAGAAAACCGGAGGACCCGAAGAAAACCCACGAGGTTCGTGCCCACGCGCCACATCCCCTACCACCGCCATAAGGGGATACCGCACTAGGCTAGTGAACCAGCGTCTTATTCACTGAGTCACCGCCATAAAGGACAATCTTGGTGTCAGCCCTTCAGACAAAAGCTCGATGTGGCGATCCAAGGAGACTCATTATTTCTAACAGGGCGCGTAAAATCGCGGTACAAATTAGATGAAATTACTTCAACCAGTCTCCTGGACCTACAGACTCAGTAACTACACGATGTCGATACGAACAAACAAGACCCCAACACGCTCTCAACACCAAAGACCTTAGCACGACCGAACGCGATTCCGATGCGATGTAAGACAAGGAGATGCTCACTCTTGAATATCCACTAGATAACGACAAAAAATAGAAAAAGTCCGTGCATTACCATGTTTATATGAAAGATACATTATGGGAGATTCGATAACGAGTTGGCAGTTCTCACTATAATAGTTATAAACTAGATAATGTAAAGGGAATATGCTGAAAATTTCAGTCAAATTGATCCACTATGAACCGAGAACTAAGCGGTTGAAATTTCCGGCTAGCGTTGATCATCATTACTAAAGTCAGTACGATAAACAGCATAGTCTTGATTATCCATTTAATCGTTAAATCGTAGGGAAAGTTATGCAGTAAATCGGCTCATAATCCACTTAAGATCGCAGGCTAGCGACGCCATCTAGAGATGATTATGGTCTGGATAGATTAATTAATGTCTAATTAATAATTTAGATAACATTTCAGGCCGAAAGAAAAACCTGCAATAGACAGATTTAGCTCTTGCATAATGTACGTTTAAGTATATCTAGAATAAGTTAAAACAAGGGAATGCACAGACTATTTTTCTCGTTTTGTCTTATCTAGTGACATTCAATTGTTTTTTTGAATTATCAGATATTCTCTTACAGTCTCATGTAACAACTTTTTGTCTTCGAGGGAATTATCGGTTTTTTTTAAAGACGGCTGACTGTTCCCATGCACTGTTATCTGCGTTACGTTATCTTAACATCCTGTTTGTTTGTAATATAAATATACATAATCATCCGATTACTTTTATACAAAAATAAAGTTGACATTACTTCAGACACTGTTTAGCTGAAATGAAGTTTTTCGTGATTGGTCTGATTTGGGTTCTGCCTGCAATTGGTGAGTAATTGTGACGATTTGGGGCTATTTGTATGCACGTCCAAGCAATTTGTAGTTTTAAAAGGCCTGTCGCCAATGTATAAGATCATGTGACATTTAAGCTTGCGCTACTGGGGAAAAATAGAGAAATGGTTTGCTGTTGTATATAATACAAGGGTGTACAATTGCAGGACGACAAACAACTTGTCGCAGCTAAAATTCACTTAAAAATTGTGTCAGCAAATTTGGACGAAAACGAAGCCTTGGTACCCAGATTTTCAAATAGGAGTAAGACATAGTTCCACTGTTAGGGTAAAATGTTCCTCATAGCACACAAAGTCTGTCATTGAATCAACTGGCATGGTTTCGATTCCCCGGTTGTAGGTGTCAAGGAGTAAGGTCGCCTGTCCAACCTCCTCGTGGGTTTTCTCCGGGTCCTCTGGTTTTCTTCCACTGCTAAAGACCCCTATGCGCAAGCGAATTATTGAAATAAAATTGAACCATGTGTTCGTCTCGAAATGATCTAGTTTGTGTCGAGTGGACGTTAAACTCTTTCTCTCTCGTTATACTCTCTCTCTCTCTCACCTCTCTCTCTATCTCTCTCTCACACACTCTCTCTCTCTCTCTATCACACACTCTCGCTATCTCTCCCCTCTCTCTCTCACCTCTCTCTCTCTCACCTCTCTCTCTCTCACACACTCTCTCTCTATCTCTCTCTCACACACTCTCTCTCTCCCCCTCTCTCTCTCACCTCTCTCTCTCTCTCTCTCACCTCTCTCTCTCTCACACACTCTCTCTCTATCTCTCTCTCACACACTCTCTCTCTCCCCCTCTCTCTCTCACCTCTCTCTCTCTCTCTCTCTGGGAATTTGGTGGCCAAATGGTTTAACTCGTGCGTGTTAGATCTTCAGGTCTGTCATTAAGTCAAGTAGCGTGGTTTCGATTCCGCGCTTGTACGTGACAAGGTGTAGGGTCACCTGTCCAACATTCTTTTTTTCTTCTGGCCTTCCGGTTTCCTCTTACTGCTGAAGACCCTGAAATGATCTGGGTTGTGTCGAGGGGACGATAAATCCCCACCAGGTCTTCCAGTTCCCTCCCACTGCTAACGACGCTACGCGCGAGCGAACCTTTGAAAAAAAAATGAACCATATGTTAGTCCCGAAATGACCTTGTTTGTGTCGAGTGGACGTTAAAATCCATTTTTTGCTATCTTTTTTTTTTCATCTTCAGTGTTATCGTTTAACTGTAAAGGAAATGTGGACGGTGTTTTTGATATTGGGTGTAAAGTATTTGTGCAGTGTATAAACGGTACGGAGAATGTTGTAGAATGTCCAGTTGGCACTGTCTTCAACAAGAATACCAAACTATGTGATCTGTAAGTAAAACATACTCTGTGACTTGATTCATTGCGTTGGGGAATGGGAGGGGCTGGTTTCGTAGTAGCGACTGTAGGATGTTTGGTTGGGTGGGGGTGGGGTTGGCGGGGGGGGGGGGGGCTCTCGGGTTCGATGGGACGAAAAACCGAGGTCCGTGTATACATTGGCGAACACGTAAAATATCATGTCATGCACAATAGAGCCCGGGTGGTGCTGACGTGTCATTAGACCCCATTTCACTCATTCATTGCATAATATCTGTTTTCAGACCCATAAGGGTACCGTCACCATGTGGTGACATTATGGATTGCTCTAACAGAAATGATAGCCGATATGCAGATCTCTCGAAAGATTGTACTTCTTACTATACCTGTAATGGCGGAATTTATTTTGGTCACAACTTTTGTCCTGGAGGTAAGAAACTATGCCAACCACAATCAAGACCTGGTATAAACCAATCAATTGGTCGTTACTGTATTTCAAAGGAAGTGCACTTAACGATATCTGCCCTTACTTTATCTTTAAGGAAATATGTATGTGACGATATCTAACCTTATTTTATTTTAACAGATATGTAATTAAGGACATTTGCAGTTTTTACTTAATTTCAAAGGATATACCTATTCAACGAAATCTGTCCTTACTTTATTTTTAAGGAGATGTACTAAGCGATATCTGTCCTTACTTTATTTTAAAGGAAATGTACTCAACGATATCGGTCCTTACTTTACCTTAAAGGAAATGTAGCGATACCCGTCCTTCTTTTATTTTAAAGGAAACGTATTTAACGATATCGGTCCTTGTTTTATTTTTAGGGAAATGTACTCAACGATATCTTTCCTTACTTTACCTGAAAGGAAACGTACTGAACGATATCTGTCCTTTTTTTATTTTAAAAGAAACGCATTTAACGATATCGGCCCTTGCTTTATTTTTAGGGAAATGTAGTTAACGATATCTGTGCATATTTTATCTTTAAAGACATGTATTTAACGATGTCGGCCCTTGCTTTATTTTTAGGGAAATGTTCTTAACGATAGCTATGCATACTTTATCTTTAAGGACATGTCCTAAAGAAATGTATTTAAAGATATCTCTCTTCTTTTTTGTAAAGGAAATGTATTTAACGAGAAGATTCAAACTTGCGACTGGAAATACCACACCGATCCACCCTGTGGTACCAAAAATACATAAACATGTCAAAGAAAACCACTAATATTGTGTTAATTATTTTGTTAATTCATTTCTATAATTACTTGCATAGCATAAGAACAGATGGTGAAATGTGTCGAAGTATTCAATTACATCTCGCTTTACTTTTATGGAGCATCTTTTTTTGTAGTGAATTTGCAATAAATTGTTTTTGACATAACTACCATTCATGTTTTCTACTCTTCGCCTCGTCAGATCGCGAAAGTCGGAGTTTTAACATAAATGCCAAAATAAATTGAACATTATAGAGTATCCCCTACGATTAATAAGGGAACATAACCAAGGTTGATATAAATCCTGAATACCCCGAGATTAAAGAGACCCCCCTCCACCCACAGCAACCCCGTTTACAAATTTGGTGATATATCTGGACTAACACGTATTCAAACCAATCTGACTAAACATTTTAATCGCAAGGAGCTACCCCAAGCCATAAAAATCACTTTGAATTAGCTGCGCATTACTCGATACCAAGCTCGCTCCTCGATACCAGTGCACAAAACATCAGACAACAACTCGACAGCCTGTTAGTTTGGGACACCCTTTTATTTTGTCCTGTGCTCTCCCCATGTGTGCTTTTCTGGGAATCCAGTATTTTGCTAGAAAATATGCCTTGATTTCATTGTAAATACGGAGCCACGTTATCCCAGTGAGTAAGAGATAGAGAAATAGGGTTTAACGTCCACTCGAAACAAACTAGGTCATTTCGGGACTAACATATGGTTTAATTTTATTTCGCTTGCGCGTAGGGGTCTTTAAAACATGGCTTTTATATCAAATATATAATAATTATGACAACTTTCTTACACAAATATAAACCACACTTTAATATATAATTATGACAACTTTTTTACACAAATATAAAATAGAATGATGAACCCTTGCATATAAAACAGTAAAACTTGGTACAATGCTGAACATTGATACAATGCTGAACATTGATACATATTCCCCGGTAATAAATATTGTATTGTGATTGTCTCTCAAACACTTTTATGTCTAATTTTATTCAATCTAATTAAAACACAGATCCTATTTCGTTTTGTTTTTTATAGTTCAAAATTTCGTTTGACTTGTCTTCACAGCACTAGGATCTGGAAGAGTTGTTATAGATCTGTATTTTAATCAGAATGAATTTTATTTCAAATTCTAACTTGCAACACATGTACACAGGTTCACGTTTTTCTGTCCAATCTGAACGAATCTACACTGTCCATTGTCAGTCCTCCATTCTGCACCACTGACAGGGAAAAAACGCGCTGGAAATCCTGTCTATATGTCTGGTTAACCTGATATTAACGTTTGTTTTTCGGGGGTCAGTTTAGATTGTTGTATATTACACCAGAATTCACTGGTGCTGCTTCAGATGTTCTCACAGATCTTCAGAATAAAATAGGTAAAATCGTTGATTCTTATTTAATTAAAAATTAAATATCTATGTTTTATAATATTCAAGCTTGGATTCAGTCTGGTAAAAATGAGGCCCATCAAAAGATTTTACGCAACACTTATTAATTGTGATGGTGTGTTTGTTTGGTCTGCTTTGCACACACAACTTTTGGACAGACAACGATTGCACACACGACCTTTGGACACAGAACCACTGCGCACACGTCCTTTAAACACACAGCCACTGTACACACATTCTTTGATGCATAACTTATTCTGTTTGTAAGTGTAGGAGGACCGCACTACATGCAAAACAAAACGGACAAGACAAACCTGTGGACAAGATAAACTACATCGACCTTGCAAGAAATAAACAACAAATATCAAATCAAGTGAATGGATCCGGGAACCAGTTGAAGTTAAACATTAAAATATATTTGACATGCAAGTAACCAAGTTCCATTTGTTTGTGATTGAACTAACATATTTTAGAGTAGAGATATTTCTATGTATTATGCTGACATCGATCTATCGTAATATGTTCTGTAATATAAATGTTAGTGGCGTTCTATTTTGTTTATTTTAACAAAAGCCTGCACACTAAATGTCTTATTCTTGTTAATAAACCCTCTCTCCGCATCCTCTAGTTTATTCCACTTTATGAGTTTACTACATCCTTTACCACAATCAGGTCTAAATGTACATGTAGATGTATATTGTTTTACTTTAGATTCACTTACATTGTTTATATTTAATAGTTTTAGTGTATAACTAGCTGTAACGGTTTTAACTGTTTCATCTTCCACTCTCCTTAACCACAAATAACATCCTAATCCTGATGTATCTGTTTCATGTATAACATCTACACACCATGACATTCCTTGTATCATTACATCATCACCAGAGTAACCCACATCTGTCTCCAAAATCTCATTCAAACTAAAACTAGACGTCCAGGTTGGTGACTCCATTTTTTTTAGTAATTCACGTAAAGTTGTAACACCTATATCTACCATAGTATAATTGATATGTCTTACTGTGGGTATATCAAAACTGGTTGATCTGCTATCTTCAGTCAGTGTTTGTCCAATGGTTAAAGCATCTACAACTGGAACAGTAGATTTACCATTCAGCGAATCATTTATATATTTAACACTGGTTTGTAGCGAACTTTTGAATTGGATCATATCTCCATGTAATGTCTGTAACTTGTTACTTTCTTCGTCACAAATTTTATTCCTTTCACATTTTATATCACTACCATGTTTTCTGACCCTTTCACAAACTGTCTGAACTTCTTGATCAACATTGTCACAGGCTATTTTAGCTTGGTTCTTGATATCAGATATTTGACCGGTTAAAGATTCACAGTGTTTGTTGACTTCATCAATCTTTCCTTCTAACTCCCGCTTTATAATGTTTAACTTTCCTCTGAGTTGTTGGTCTACATCAGTAAGATCTGTATATGAGTGAGTTGTATGATCCAATATAACACAACTCCAACAAACAGCAACAAAACAATCGCGACAAAAAAATTCTATTTCTTTTGTCTTGTGTCTTGGACATAAATGATTTTGTGTTTCACCTTTTGGTTGGATGTAAAAGTTTGTTGAAAACCCACTTGCACCACCATCAGGTACTTGTATCTCTGTTCTACAATTAGGACAATTAAACTTGTTGAGATGTGAATGTGTTTTGATATGTTCGTCTATACAATGTTCACAAAACGTGTGAAAACATGGCAGTATTTTAGGTTTAGTAAAATCCTCTAAACAGATACTACAGCAATGTGTATCAATGCCTGCTTCTGCCATCTTTACCGTACAACACAGTTAGACACAGTCCATGTAAGAACTGCAACAATTATATTCAGTAGTTATAGATTATATTTATATGGTCGTTTTATACAACAGTTGAGATTACAGACACTTGTCCTCGATTTCACAGTTTCTATTACAGCTATATTCATTATGTTATACATACAACAGTTGAGATTACGGAAGTGACTACTTGTCTTAGATGTATGGGTTATAACACATCATTACAAATATATATATATATATATATATATATATATATATATATATATATATATATATATATATATATATGTGTATCACAGCCTTTGAAGAGGTCAAGACCTTGAGGTCAAGACCTTGAAGTGAGAACTGTCAGCTCTTTATCTAATCTCCCATAATGTCTAATTGATAATTTATGACATTTAAGGCCCTGTAGAAAGACCTGCAATAGGCAGATTTAGCTCTTACATAATGCCTGTTTAATGTAAACAATATTGGTATACATGTAACTGATGGTAAATAATTCAAATATAGATATTGAAATAAACAGGTTTCTGGAAAGGTTTTTCTCCCTGACTCCTTCATTTGGGTCTATATATCACCATGGTAACTAAAAGGCTTTAGCCCGCAGTCGTTAATTACAATTTATTAGATAAATTAAACATACATTATGCTAGAGGTAAATCTGCCTATTGCAGGTCTTTCTTTAGGCCTGAAATGTTATCTAAATTATTAATTGGACATTAATTAACTTTTCCAGACCATAAGCAACCCTCAATGACATCGCTAGCCTGCGATATTTACTGGATTAGGTTCCGATTTGCTGCTCAACTTTCATTCATGATTAAATCATGAAATGGATCATCGAGACCACGTTTTTTATCATACCGACTTTAGTAATGATGATCGAGGCTAGGCCGAAAATTCAATCGATAATTTTTCGGTTCAGAGTGGATCAATTTGACTGAAATTTTCAGCAAATTCTCTTTACGTTATCTAGTTTTTAACTAGTAAAGTGAGAACTGCCAGCTCTTTATCCAATCTCGTATAATGTATGTTTAATGGTGTAAAACAAAGACAGGTGATTAGGGAAATATGATATAGATATAAATGGAGGGGGGGGGGGAATTGTTGATTAAGATTCATTAAAATATAGCTGACTGAACTAAGTAACACTGTGTGGATTAGTACGACGTATTAAACATTTACTATTGGGCTGTAATTATCAGTTGTAAGAATAATGCATATTTATAAATGAATTTCACATTACTACCGAGTTCTTGGTGTGAAATTTTCCACGGAAATATTTATTTATGGCTAGGGATATGATATCATATCTTTCCTATCTAAATTACATCCTGCTTATTGTTGATATATATATGACGTAATTTAGATAGGAAAGATATATCATATCCCTAGCCATAAATAAATATTTCCGTGTAAATTTCCACATCAAGAACTCGTTGATGACAGGGAATATAAGTAATATTGTTATAATACATTATAGAAGTGTCAAGATAACCCGCTGTATAGAGATGTATGGTGTAATTTGAAAATGAAATGAAATGGGGTATAACATCCTACTTTTCTGCTCCGACTGTGCTAATAAAGACGGGCATACGTTGTACAGTGTGCTATGAGGGAAATTTTTTGCCTGGACAGCGGCGCTACACACGGCCTACTCTTGTATGGAATTCCAACAGCCAAGTGTTTTTTTACGTGCACACCAATGTGTATACAGGACCTCGGTTTTTCGTACCATCCAAATGACTATACGCTATCCCTTGCCAAGCCATCCATCCTGAACTTCTAACGTGAACCCCAGGTTAGCGGGCTAACATCGTACACACTGAGTCACTGCGACTCGTGTAATTTCAATGGAGACAAATATATTCGTAGCCATTATCTTGTAAATAGATTAAATAATTTCTTGAAAGTTCTAACCCAGGATTAACGTGTTCGCTTTAGTTCATATAATCTGTCATTGTTTCGACGATTCCCGGCTTGTAGGTGACAAGGATTAGGGTTGTCTGTCCAATCTCCTGGGGTTTTCCTGGGTCCTCTGGCTTGCTCCCAATGTTAAAGAATTATTGAAATAAAACTGAATAATGTTTTAATATGGACGTGACCAAGTTTGTGTCGAATGAAGGTTAAATTCTCTCTGTGATGTATATTTTTTATACGTGAACATTCTACAGAGTATCTGATCAATTTCAAATTTAGGCCTATATATAATTTTAACATTAGTAAGACGAAGAAGCCTATTTAATTTCAAGAATTTCCTTTAATTACTACTAGAGTTATGGTCCTTGTTTCGTTTTTTTTATTCGCTCAGATTTTCATGTGGACGTATTATGCCGTCGCCCCTGTCCGTCCGTCTGTCCATCCGCAATTTGTTTGTGGACAGTCTACAGGTCACAATTTTATCAGATTTTGATTTGTGGTTCCTCTGGAGGTGACAATTTTTGTCTGATTTTAAAAACCTTTCAAATATATCACCATTACACCCTAATGATTAGGACTGTCAAACAATATTGCTATATAGATATATTACAATACGACTTTCCGCGATACACTGTATTGATCCATTTTTGTTGTATCGATATTTTACTACTTTTACTTTATATTCAAATTTTAGCTAGACTGTTTATAAAGATTTCATAATCAGTCATAGTTTTTAGGCTTTGCACTGCAGTAAACAATAAGCCTACAAAGACAAGACCAAAGTTGTAAAAGCAAATAAAATATGGAAGACCAAACGGCTCTTTCTTCAATATTTTTAATTCTTAGATCTTAATTCATAGTCCTTAATTCTTATTTCTTCATTTGTTGTTGTATTTCGACATTTGTACACTAAAATTAACATTTAAAATCAAGATTTGTTAACAAATCAGACATTTGTCATATCAGATTTGTAAAATGTATTTTTGTTTAATTCAATGGTATTTTAATATCGTGTATTTCGTGTTATGGCCCGTATTTTGACGTTAAATTACCCCCCCCCCCCTCCTCATTTACGTGCTAGTTAGTCTTTTTCTTTTTTCAAGATATGTAAATATAAATACTTTCCGACAGTATATGAATAGATATCGAAAATGTCTTATTAAGATTATTTTTTTTTTAAATTTAAATACGCCTCCCCTCCCATCCCCTCCCTTCACTTAATAAATGAAATGAAATGAAATGAAATGGAGTTTAACGTCTCACTTTTCTGCTCCGAACTGAGCTAATGAAGACGGGAATCAGAATCTGAGTTACATAATAATAATAAGAAGTCGCCAAGAATCCATTTTAATTGTAATTGTGTAAAAAAGTTTATACTTTAGTTATATAGTACTGATTATTGTTGGGTTGTTATCTCAATCAATTTACTCAATGACTTCTATTTCAAGTACTTGATCGTATGACTTTGGAAGCAGTGAAATGAAATGAAATGGGGTTTAACGCCCTACTGTTCTGCTCCGCTAATGAAGACGGGCATACGCCATACAGTGTGCCATGGGGGAAATTTTGCCCGGGCTGCGGCACTATGGCCTATTCTTATATCGAGTTCCAACTGCCAAGGGATCTTTTACGTACACCTCGGTTTTTTCGTCCCATCCGAACGACTAGACATCTGTCCTTGTCGGGCCCTCCGTTCTGCACCACTGACAAGCGGAAACCACGCCTGAAAATCCCGATGAACTTTCTCGGCCAAGGCAGGGATCGAACACGCGACTTTCAGGTTACCCACTTAGTCTCCGTGGCTCCGACTTTGCATATGTCAAAGTTTGTGCTCTGCGTAAGTCGTACGTAGAAATGTAAAATGTAATGAGAGAAATGTAAAATGTAGACACGTCAAAAAACAGCCCTTTCCAATACAAAATTTGTCATTTGACACATAACATTTAATTTGACGTTTTGGCCTAGGCGGTATTTTGACTTAATCATTACCGGTTTTACCTATAATCAGTGGAAATTACATTTTAGCATAGCATTTAATATTGGCAGCGATACCCTTCCACAATGCCCGTCTTCATTAACCCGGTTAAGGTAGAAACGTAGGACGGCACACATCATAAACGATTATTGAACCGTCTACCATCTTTCATCTCTAGAAACGTGGGCTTTTGAGGATGCAGTATGATGGCTCGTATTGGAGGCATGATTGCACCTTTTATTTTTAATTTAGTAAGTATTATTATAACCGTGTTATGATAACTCTAATAGACTTTTCAGTTGAAACTTTAAGATACAAGGGGGGGGGGGGTGGCCGAATGGTTAACGCGTGCGCGCTGAATCATAAGGTTTGTCATTGATTCCCCCGTTGTACACGATTAGGTGTAGAATCACCTGTCCAACATCGTGGGTTTTCTCCGGGTCCTCCGGTTTCCTCCCTCTGCTAAAGACCTCTACGCGCATACAAATTATTGAAATAAAATAGAACCATATGTTAGTCCCGAATGACCTGGTTTGTGTCGAGTGGACGTTAAACCCCATCTCTCTCTCTCTCTCTCTCTCTATCTCCCTCTCTCTCTCTCTCCTCGCAGCTTTTGGTGTGAATAGACCCAACCCGACGCACGCTTTCTCCCTAGTCATTGCTTTTAGGAGTTATCCAAATTGCATATTATGAAAGTATTTAGAAATACGTACAGATTGCTATTGTGCTTCATACAGAGATTGGAACCATCGCAGAACCTACCACAGCCTTATTTTGGCTAAAAGTACATCAAGTATTGTTTAAATGTGTTTCAGAGTAGTAACAGAATGGTACCTTACATTATAATGGGTGTTACGATCACAATAAGCGGTATTTGTGCTTTACTATTGAATGAAACAAAGGATTCGGCTTTACAGGACTTAATAGGAGACATCGATAGAAATGAAACACAGCAGAAATCAGATGTACCAACCAAAGATATGGAAAGATCACACGAAGGGGAGACAAATCCAAATGGTGAATTAACCGAGGACGTCCAGAGCAAAGAAGCAGAATGTACCAGTGTGTAGCGATATCATAGTATACGCATCGCTTCTAAATGCAATAAATAAACGTGGTGTGTTGCTTAACTAATTAGTTACTTTATTTGTCGGGTGCGGGGAAAGCGGGTGGTATTAATGTCTTTTCAAATTCGTTTTTACGGCACATTTCGCCTCTATAACTGCATTTGGTTTGAAGAATTTTGTAAAAAAAAAAAAATAGTTATTCTCCCACCACTAAAACATACTGGTTACGAGATATCATTCTCCGAAACTTCCTGAAGACCGCCATGAGTTAATTGCGTTATTTGGCCAAATTTGAGTGAGATGTTGTCTGATACATTATTGAGAGAGAGAGAGAGAGAGAGAGAGAGAGAGAGAGAGAGAGAGATGGGGTTTAACGTCCACTCGACACAAACTAGGTCATTTCTGAACTAACATATGGTTCAATTTTATTTCCATAATTTGCTTGCTCGTAGGGGTCTTTAGCAGTGAGAGAAAACCGGAGGACCCGGAGAAATCCCACGAAGTTGTTGGACAGGCGACCTACTCCTTGTCACGTACATCCGGGGAATCGAAACCACGCCAGTTGACTCAATGACAGACTTTATGATACAGCGCGCACGTGCTAACCAGTCAGACATTCAATCCCCGTAATATTTATAAGTTTAACCAGTTGTTTAATACTTCAAATATTATCACTTTGGAAAAACTATGTAAATTTATAAAATTAATAAATGTGAAAGTCAATCCTTCTAGATAATTAAGTTAATTTTGTTGTATTGTTCGCACATGCACGTAATTATATATGATATTATATTTCTATGGGGGGATCCCGGTGGGTAAGACGCTGGCTCGCTAGCCTGGAGGTCGGGTTTCGATCCCTGCATTGGCGGAGAAAGTTCATCCAGATTTTCCGGCGTGGTTGTCCCTTGTCAGTGATGCAGGACGTAGGGCCTGACAAGGACAGCTGTCTTGTCGTTCGGATGGGACGGAAATCCGAGGTCCCGTGTACAGATTGGTGTGCACGTAAAATATCCCCTGACAGTTGGAATTCGATATAAGGGTAGGTCGTAGTGCCGTTGTCCGGGCAAAATTTCGCTCATAGCATACGGTATAGCGTATGTCCGTCTTCATTAGCCCGGTTCGGAGCAGAATAGTAGGACGTTAAACCCCATTTCATTTATATTTTTATGTTTTCTCTGTATCTGTGTATTAAAGTTCATGAGAATAAAGTTCATTCAGCAACTATAGTTAGCAACTAGTTTATAGCAACCAATTTAGTTAAACACTAATAAAAGTTTATTGTTTGTAACTTAAAGATACATTATGTAAGATTAAGATAAAGAGCTAGCCATTCTTGCTATAATTGTTCGAATATAGATAATGTAAAATGAGTAATTTGAAAATTTCATTCAACTTACTCTATTGCGAGCGAAGATATTAGCCTTTGAAGGTTTTGACAAGACGTGTGCAATAATTTCAACCACCGTACTGGTTGTTCGAAGCTACGTCTCGCTCATCAAAATATGGCTGAATTTAATATCGAGATTTGATTATGGACTGGATAAGTTAATTAATGTCTAATTAATAATTAAGATAACATTTCAGGCCTAAAGAAAGACCCGCAATAGGCAGATTTAGCTCTTGCATAATGTATGTTTAATCTAAATCACCTTAAATATAATTAATTGAGTATACAGGTCACAATTCTATGGAATACAGTTACATAATGTATGTTTAATCTAAAGCACCTTAAATATAATTAATTGAGTATACAGGTCACAATTACTGCTTATTACTGAGCGACGTTTCGACTAGGCTTCTCTAGTCATTATCAATCAATGATAAAATATAAAATATAACCAGACTTTATATACATGTACACAGCAATACTTAGTGAATGCTGACCAACCATAAATCTCCCTTAATTACATGTACCTAAAGGGAATCTGATTTAATTAAGGATTATAAAGTTAAACGCTAATAACAAAATTCAATAATACCAATTTAACTAAAAATTGACTAATTGATTAATTGATAAGTTGTTGTGGAGTATATACAATGATTAGTAGGTTTTAATAATGACAAACGTTGAAAGAAAATGAAATTTGATAAAATGTTATCAACGACCCCTTTCAATGAAATAAACACAAATGATTAATGAATAGATTGTTGTGGAGTATTTACAGCGATTTGATGAGGTTGTAATAATGACAACATCCTAAGAAGATGAGATTTGATTCGTATTATAATGAAAAATAATTGATATGTGCATGTTGATGCGAGTGATTCTACTGATATACGAAAAAAAAACCCTAGAAAAATGAACAATAACTGCACAAATGATCAATAATCCCCTGAAGGCCGACAGGATTAGAACTATTGAGTGCATTAAATTACAATAACAGCAGGCCTGAAAAGCAAATAAAAAAACAAAACAAAAACCCCCCAAAATAATCCTTATAATCCTAATTAAATCAGATTCCCTTTAGGTACATGTAATATTTCTGGTTGCTCAACATTAACTAAGTATTGTTGTGTACATGTATATATTGTCCTGTCATATTTTCATTTTTTATCATAGCTAGGGAAGCCTAGTTGAAACGTGACTCAGTAATAAGCAGTAATTGTATTCCATAGAATTGTGACCTGTATACTCAATTAATTATATTTAAGGTGATTTAGATTTTTTGAAACGATCTCAAGAGACGGTATGACAACTCGATTGAAGGTAAGTTAAAATAAAAATAATTATTTCACGATACATGGGACACTGATTTCTATGCTCTGGACAAATATTAGCATACACCCGCATTTATTAAATGAAATGAAATGGGTTTTAACGTCCTACTGTTCTATTCCGACTGGATAAATGCAGCTGGGCATGTGCTATACATAGTGTGCTATGAGGGAAAGTTTGCCCGGACAGCGGCGCTAAGGTCTACTCTTATATCGAATTCCAACTTGCAAAGTATTCTTTTACATACACGTCAATATGTACGCGGGACCCCGGTTTTCCGTCCCACCCGAAGGACTAGACAGCTGCACTTTTCAGGTCCTCCGTCCTGCATCACTGACAAGCGGAAAAAACAACGCCGGAAAATCACGATGAACTTTCTCTGGGCGAATTACCCGCGACCGTGACTCCCTTGGTGTGAAGGATTAGAATTGTGAGAGGGTGTCAAATCTGCGAGGATGAACTCTATTGATTCTAGGACTTCCTGGTCCAGAGATATAATATCCTCCAACGCTTGTGGACACGATAGAAATTGCATTTCTTGAAGACATCCAAATTTTCCTTTCGGATAAGCCGCTGTGGCTATCTTGACACAGCTGCTGCGTGGACGTACATCTGTATATTCACGCTTTGCGTGACTATCTTCATTATATTTTAATATTATTATTTTTTTTCAGAATAAGATTAAGATATGTGCTTGGCTGCTTTTTTCTGCCAGTTGCTTGACTTTTGGTGTTTTCAATTTGTTGCCATGTACAGCAGTCTCGAATGACAGGACTCTAGTGTATACGTGCCGACAAGGGGTTGTATGTGGAGGCTGGGCCGACAGACAAAAGGGTTTAATAGCTGTTTATCTATTGGCTAATGCCACCCAATCCGGATTTAAAATAGAGATAGACAAACCGTGTGACGTAACATCATTTTTACAACCCAAATCGCGAGACTGGAGACTGGATAAAGAGAAGACAAAGAATCTGTGTACAGAAGAACGAAATTTTGTAGACAGCTACGGGAGAGAACTCCGTCAAAATATAAAAACCAACAACATTTCACGTTTCTTTAATAAGGATATTAATTATTTAACAATAAATAGTGAATTTAGTCATTATATTCGACAAAACAAACTTCACAGACACAATTTAAAATGGTTAGAAAAACTTAGCATGGGCCAAATATTTGCTACAATTTGGCAAGAAAATATGTCACTTACCGCAGACTTGGAACGAAGCTATCAAAACTTTATGAAAAGAACTAATGGCAGGAAACTGGTTTGCGCTCAGGTTCGAATGGGAGGTAACCCGTCTATGCCTAACGATTTACGCAATCGAAATGATATGGATCACGTGATTGATATTTTAGATTTTTTTCGAAAGTATGATGATCCTAAGCTGTTTAGAATATTTGTAACAACTGATGCTGAACAAGTCAGAGTAATAGTGAAGCAATCATTCCCAGACGTGGTCATGGATACAGAAGGTGTTATAGCACACGTGGACCAAGAAAAGGACCAACAGAAATCTTGTGAGGGATTTAAGAAAGTTATTTTAGATCAGCATATTTTAAGTACCTGTGATGTGTTGGTGATTAGTTATAGTGGTGTTGGGCGTCATGCTGCCTGGGTGCGAGGTACACCAACAGACTTGTTTTGCTTTATTGGTGGGAACGTTATTCCATGTAATTTCACTCATGATTTGTTTCAGCCTTCCGTCTGGTGAGGTCCAACCAGACCGTAGTGATGCTGTCTGGGCAAAATTCCCCTCATAGCTCACTGTATGGCGTATGCCTGTCTTCATTAGCCCAGTTTGGAGCATATCAGGAGGATGTTGTTAAACCCCATTTCATTTCATTTTCTTCTAGGACAATTCGTCCCTTAGGACAGTTTGTCCCTGAACAACAATAATGGTAGTACCATTATCAAAAACTGAATTAATCTTTACTTTTTATCCTAAACTTCAGTTTTGATGCTAGTTTTACATCGTTTTACATTTAGTATTAAAACAAGGCCTTAGTTAGAGAATCCATTTCTCCCTTCACTATGGGTATTGTCCAGAGGGGACGAATTATTCGGGGGCGAATAGTCCTAGGGAACGAATTGTCATGGGACAAGTTGTCCTAGGACGAATTGTCCCGTACCCCCGTATATCGAGAATTGGGTATAAACAATAACGTTGGCCATGGGGCAGGTGCTCGAAGTTATCTATTTTGGCCGAGTATAACCAGACACCAGACGAATATACTAAAACGTGAGTTGTACGGTTTTACCACAGTCTATGAATAGTGATAATACCAGTGATATTCTTGGTACTATAGATTGGAAATGAACATGAAAGGAAATGGGGTTTAACGTCCTACTTTTCTGTTCCGACAGGTCTGTTGAAGACGGACATACGTCATGCAGTGTTCTACTGCCTACTCTTATTTCAACTTTCAACTGCACGTCAAGGGTTCTTTTATGGGACCTCGGCGTTTCGTCCCATCCGAAAGACTACACGCCCAACACCACTGACATGGGGGAACCAAGTAGGAAAAGGAAAATGCCGAGGAACTTTCTCGACCAACATCGGGATCGAACACGGACCTCCATGTTAGTGAGGCAACGTCCTCCTCACCGAGGCATGGCGACACCCACTATAAATTTGGATTATTAGTCTTGTTTGAGTTTGGCCGATGCTGTTTAAAACGTCTTTAATGAAATATATATATATATATATATATATATATATACAAATACAATGATTGCGCGAATTCATATGACCGCATTGTCCTAAATTTGTGTGACGACTTGCCTGGGTTTGTGTGAACGCTTTTCTAGAATTTATGTGACCGCCTTGCAGGAATTTATGTGACCGCCTTGCTAGAATTAATGTGACTGTTTTGTTAGAATTAATGTATTTATGAGACCGCCTTGCTAGAATATATATACCCACACTGACAGAATATTTGAGCATAGAATACTCAAGCAGTTATTTAAAGTAAAAAAACATGTGTTGTTTTCTGGGATTGCCATCGAATGTATTTTATAAATTTCATCAGGTTAAAACATCTCCTTAAGACTTCCAGCCGCGAGAGCATTCAGAGCCATGGTGATTCTGCCCAGAACTTTTATGCACGATTATCAAGACAGTGGGTGTTCTTTATTCGACTTTGTTAAAGCATCAAATTAGTTATCAAATATTTTTTGTACCATAAATAAATTTTAATTGATTATATTGTTTATACTTGTGCAAAACAAATATGCCCGTTTTTATATGCCCACATTTTTCATGTGGACGTATATTGTCGTCGCCCCTGTCCGTCCGTCAACAATTTGTTTGTGGTCACTCTACAGGTCACAATTATTATTTGATTTTGACGAAACTTAAAATATAGGTCTATCTCCCAAAGATCTCGGTTCCTTTCGATATTACCATGTATCGGACAATAACTTCATGGATCATAGCCCCTGATTGTACGAAAAATCACGTTTTTAGATTGTGGACACTCGAGAGGTCACAATTTTCATCCAATTTTGATGAAACTTGAAATACATGTTTATAACCCAAAGATCTTGGTTCCTTTTGATAATCGCGCATATCAGATCGTAACTTCCTGAATTATGGCTCTTGAATGTACGAAAAAACGCGCTTTTAGCTTTTGGTCCCTCTAGAGGTCGCAATTTTTATTCGATTGAAAAAAAAAACATTTGAATATTTCAGCGTTACACCCTAATCACGGCTGAGTTAGTATTTCGTGAAAATCGGACCAAAATCTACCGAGAGTGATATCGAGCCATAGCGATGAACGAAGCAGTTTTAAACGGTTTTGTACTTTCAGTGAAATAATCATAAACATAATTATGCAAGAGCTAAATCTGTCTATTTCAGGTCTTTCTTTAGGCCTGAAATGTTATTTAAATTATTCATTAGACATTAATTAACCTATCCAGGCCATAATCAACTCTAGATGATATCGCTAGCCTGCGATCTTTAGTGGATTGTGAGCCGATTTACTGCATAACTTTACTTCACGATTTAACGATTACATGGATAATCGAGACTATGGTGTTTATCGTACTGACTTTAGTAATGATGATCGAGGGTAGGCGGAAATTTCAATCGCTTAATTCTCGGTCATAGTGGATCAATTTGAGTGAACTTTTCAGTAAATTGCCTTTACATTATCCAGTTTTTAACTATACTATGGTGTGATGTGGATCTGCCCGAGGAAAAGAATACTATTTTCTCAAGTTCATACTTATATAACATCAACTAAACGATTTACCTAACTTCCATTTATAATATTATATGTAGTTCCGGTGCACTCTTTGTATGTATGTTTAGTTTTATTTTGTACATGTAAATAAAGTTTAGTTCATATTCCTCAATTTTATATGTATTATTTGTTGAAATAGTCTTATTATATACTATTCAAAAAAAGTAGAGGATATTTGATTTTGGGGGCATAATACTAAAATATGCAAATGAGTACGAAAAAAGTCACTATAGAACCTAACAGAAGAAACATTTCCAGTTACATGTGACGCCCAAACGCACCAATAGCTACCGCATGGAATGCAGGTGATGCTTGGGATCATCATGGGGGTCCAACCCAAGATTTGCACGACTCTGACTTTGAATGTTACAGTCATTGTGGCATTGAATTCCAGGGTGGAAACATCAGTTTAATTGTTTTAGTGACCAGAAAACAAATTTTGATATGCGTCGGCTTACCCAAAATGAAAGGTTACGTGCCCTTGGCATGCTACAGATCGGCACAACACAGGCGGTTGTGGCGCGGACGATGAATGTTTCTCAGTCTGTCATAAGCAGGCTATGGTCCAGATACCGTGATACACAATCTGTACAGGACAGACCACGCTCAGGTCGACCAAGGGCGACAACTCAAGCCCAGGATCGATTTATCCGTACCTTGGCCTTGAGAAATCGTGTCATCACAGCAAATCAGATCAGCTGTTTGACCCCGGGTATCATTTTACCCTTATAATGGTCAGTCTGTACCTTACTTAGTCTAACGATCATTTGGAATAAATCAATGAATGTGAACTTCATTTCATTTTGTCATTTGTTTCTTCGTCAGTTTCATTAGGTGACTTTAATAACACTTAAAAATCAAATATCCCCTACTTTTTTTGAATAGTATATATATGGACCTTATAATGCACTATATTAAAGATACATTATGGGAGATTAGATAAAGAGCTGACAGTTCACACGGATATCGGAAGTACAATAAAAACTTGTTTACAAAAGTATTCTAAAGAGTGAAAACTGACATATTTCAAGATTTACTGTTTTAAGAAATAGTTTAGATCAGCCGGCTCAAGCTTTTTGTCCATTCTTTAGGCTTAGAGCCAGCCTCCACCGACAATAAAATCGCAAACGAGTGTTCAAACAATAAAAGCCTACATTCCTACAAAATTTTACTTAGTCAAGTGAAACAAGAAAATTCGTAAATATGGAGGTGTGTGTGTGTGTGGGGGGGGGGGGGGGGTAAATTCACCTGAACACATCTGGATACGCAAATAGAACACGTTCACCTTGAAGTTGTGCCCAGTCAGGGGCATTATCAGGAATTTGACCGTCATATTGTATTACATTAATTATGTTATTTTGCCTTGGCCGAATTCGTCCCAAAAGGAGCATGATTTTGTCTAACATAAATATCATTGAATTAAGCGGTATTGGTTTCTTTTGCAATTTGTTTAGGCTATATGTTAGACGCGGTCGTTCAGTTTTAAAAAACAAACATTTAATTGTATTACTTTTACATCCGGGTTACCATAGATGACGGACCGTGTTATGAACGCGATATTATCTGTATACATACTAGGTATAACTAGTAACCTTTTATTCGTCATTAATATATTAACAATACAGTGCATGAATAATCACTGAATGGACTAGTAAAGATCTATTGAATTGTGGAAAGGGGAATACCCCTATTTTACATAGAAAACAACACACATAAGTTAAAGTCGACTTTAGCTTTAGTAATATCTTCAAGCACAGCTAAAACTGTTTGAGGGGATTGGATATATTTTGAGTTTGAGGTAATATTGGATATAATTTGAGTGTAATGTGGTTTATCTGGGATATAATCTGTGTGTAATGTGGTATAATTTGGGTATAATTTAAATGTAATGTAGTAATATAAGTAAGTTGGGTGTAAGTTTATTGTTATGTATTGTAAATGAAATGAAATGGGTTTTTCCGTCCTACTGTTATGCTTCGACTGGATAAAAGAAAACGAACATACGCCATAGTGAGTTGTGAGGGAGCTGTGGGGGGGGGGGGGGGGTAGATTTTGACTGGTCTTATATCGAATTTCAATTGAGTAGTGTCCTTTTACGTGTACGCCAACGTGTACACGGGACTTCGGTTTTCCGTTCCGGCAAAGTTCTTCCGCCCTACACCACTAACATAGGGGAATCGCGCCGGAAACTCCCGATGAACTTTCTCGGCCCTCCAGGTTAGCGAGCCAACGTCTTACTCAATGAGTCACACTGATTCCCTTAATGTAGTGTAAGTTTGATACAATTTGAGTGTAATGTGGTCTGCGATATCACCTCGGTGGAAGCGGACTTCAAATAAAGCTAGTTCACACTCACACGCAGCTTACTGTGGTATATGATTTGAGTGTAATGTAGTATAAGGTGGATATAATTTGAGTGTAATGTGGTATAAGGTGGATATAATTTGAGTGTAATGTGGTATAAGGTGGATATAATTTGAGTGTAATGTGGTATAAGTTAGATATAATTGGAGTGTAATGTGGTATAAGGTTGATATAAATTGAGTGTAATGTGGCATAAGGTGGATATAATTTGAGTGTAATGTGGTATAAGGTGGATATAATTTGAGTGTAATGTGGTATAAGGTGGGTATAATTTGAGTGTAATGTGGTATAAGGTGGACATAAATTGAGTGTAATGTGGTATAAGTTAGATATAATTGGAGTGTAATGTGGTATAAGGTGGATATAATTGGAGTGTAATGTGGTATAAGGTGGATATGATTTGAGTGTAATGTGGTATAAGGTGGATATGATTTGGGTGTAATGTGGTATAAGGTGGATATGATTTGAGTGTAATGTGGTATAAGGTGGATATAATTTCAGTGTAATGTGATATAAGGTGGATATAATTTCAGTGTAATGTGGTATAAGTTATAAGTTTAGTGTAATATTGGACACACTTTGTGTGATGTGGTTATAAGTTAGATATAATTCTTAATGTGTGTTGGACTGTTTGAATTTTTGATATGTTTTATGCGTTGTAGTGATCAGAGTCCTATTTCTCGGAATCCAAATTTTAGTAGATACTTCAATTTTGATTGGCTAAGCACTAAAATCAATTTAATATTATCCAATCAAATTACTAAAATTTCGATTTTTATCTTAGTTAAAATTTCGTGAAACAGGCCCCTGATCCTAAACTCTGTATTTATATGTTTACTTTTTAATTTTTAATAGAAGAGCAGATTTGGTTGAAACAATTGATTAGTTTTTTTTAGACCTTAGCAACGGTGTGTATCTTCTTTTTATTTCAAGGTCTGTATGGTACAACAGTTTAGATGCGAATATTTGCTTGTAGAAGTATTAAGGTGCCTATACACATCTCTCCATAATGTCAGCTTCCCAGCAAGCCCCTTTCCTTTATTTCTCGAACTGAACTTAAGGACGTGTCAAGTTATAATTGGTGAAGACAATGGCTACTTCATAGATTCTTACTCCGAAAAAGAGACTTAATTCCTCAAAACAGGTGTTTAGTGCAGCAGTGTAGAGTGAAGATTTGTGAAATGAAAAGCTGTAAGCAGTATGGAAAATAGCGGAATTAAAGCACCGGTGACTGTATGTGAGAATGGTGATTCTGATATAATCACTTTCAGTGAAGCATTGTTGAGAATATGTGAGGATGGTGTTTATGCTAGCATTGTGTCGTTGGTGCAACGCGGGGCTAATGTTGAATATACTGATTCATATGGTAATACTCCGCTGCTTACAGCTATCGAGAATCATCATATAAATTGTGTAGATGTGTTACTGAATAACAAATATTCCCTTGCCAATACAGAACACAGTAACACGGTGACTGGGAACACTCCTTTAATGATGGCAGCAAATAATTTCGATATTGTCAGATTGCTGATAAACAGTGGGTGTCAGTTAAATTCGACGAACCGATTTAAGGATTCTGCACTACACCTGGCTGCCAGAAATGAAAATTTAAAAGTTGTTCAATTGCTTGTGTCCAGTGGGATAGATGTTACCCTCACTAACAAGGACAGGGAAACTGCACTACACATTGCTATCATTATTCGCAACCCAGCTATATCCTGTAGATTACTTTCAATACAGGAATGTCTCGATTCACAGTCTGTTTATTTACTAGACATGGCTTGTGGTTATGAGTACTCTAATAATAAGGGGGACACGTTTTTGCAGGACTGTATGGAGTATTTTATGAAATATTGTGACAGAGAAACGGTCACACAATTAATCCAACACGGCTTACCTGTCGATGCTTCATTACTAGGATACGCTTACCGTAATAAAGATCTTGTAATGGTGGACACATTAATACAAGCTAGTCTTCACCAGAATCCCGATCATTCCAGATTTACACCTTTCATATACTTTTCTCTGATACATAACGATTTTGAGGGAGTTGAAAAATATATCAAATATGTCAGTCCCTTCGCTGCTCTGGAGGATGGTCGTTCATTATTAGATGTCGCACATTATGTTGAAAACTATGACATGGCGGGGATTTTACTCCAAAACGGCCATCACCTGACTTTTTGCAATTGTATAAAAGCATTAAATTGGCTTGGTTACCAATACGATCGGAGTAAACACGGTATCGTGAAAATTAAACATGTCATACAGTATGGTATAGCTCACACCTATCGTCGTCGAACACAGTTCATGCCTCCACAGCTACATCTTAAATGCTACCATAGTTACGTATTTCAGTATATCAACATACTTTACGTGATGTACATGTCCAACCTGATAAATAACAATGACTTACACTGTAGGCTTTCTAAGTTGCCTGTACCGTTTAATAACCATGGACATGGAAAGGATTTACAAAATATTGCTTCCGATCTGGCGCTAAATCATAGTCTCTCGCGTGATGTGGGCGTAGCCAGTGGACCGTTAGAGGAACTGGCTTTCGGTAGGCTAAAATCATTACAAGAACTGGCTTTAAGTCCCATGTCACTTCTTTGTATAACCCGTAATGTGATTTGCGGATCACTTGGTCCACCTAACATGTGGTTTAATGTAGGGTTATTGCCCCTGCCTGATAAAGTTAAATCGTTTCTAAGATATGATGATATCCTTAGTAATACGGGCTAAATCACGAGACCGGTTAGGTAGACTTTTTATACTACAACATTTATAAATGTACTAATGGGGCGGGCGGGGGGGGGGGGGTCTAGTGGTCTTAAGTGTCACGCTTTGACCTCTAGCTGGTCGGTCACCTCTGGCTTGCGGGCGGTTGTGGTTTCGATCTTCGGTGTGAGCGTATGTGGCTTGCAGATAGGGGCGCCTTATCAACCTCGTGGGTTTACTCCGGGTACTCCGGTTTCCTCCCACACCAAAGACCCCTGCGCGTGCGCCAAGATAATGAAAATAAAAAAAAGACAACTTGTCTGCGATATCACCTTCGGTGGAAGCGGACGTTAAAAACTAAGAACAACAACATAAAGTTTGAAGACGTACATGGATGTACTTAACAAAGATATACCCAGTAAAATATAACAGATAGTTGCTACTGATTTTGATGCTATTATTTCTGAATACATATTTAATGTCTTTGGTATTTAAACAAGGTATTGCTTTTATTAAACATTTTCAGTTCGTTATCAAATTTATGATTTATTTTGACAAATTACTGAAATGCTGGATTAAAACCCTTATGCAAGAGCTAAATCTGCCGATTGCATGTTATTATCATAACAATGGTAGCAATGGTAATTGAGGCTTCAATGTTCTTGTATCGAAGATAACTCGATTCAGAGTGAAGTAATTTGACTGACATTTTCAAAATATTCGATTTTTTTTATCTATATATTTTGTAACTATTACAGCGAGAGCTGTCAACTCAGCTGTCGATTTAATAAGTAGCCTACGGGAATTGTAGTAATTTGACATATCTCTTCGTCATTTATAATGAGTCATTGCTAGTGTTTAGACTTATGCTTAAATATCATAGTTTAACTTTGTATTAGAGGTGTATTTTTGCTATATGAACACGTATTTGGACTAGCAATGTTTTCCCGAGATTTGGATTTAAAGTTGCAATTTCATATTTTTAAGTTATATTTTTAAAATGTATAAAAATTATGCCCTAAAATAGATGGTATCTATAAATAGTCCTACCGTGTTAAAGAATAATCCTATTAATCCTATAATTCACTATTGCCAGTTGAGAAATTGGCAAAAATATCATTTTAAACTTCAAATTCAAACGTTTGAAGATAGCTATTCCATGGGGAAAAGAAAGCAAGGGAGGTAATTGTGTTATTATTTCCGGGGTCAAAAGATTTTTAAGTGGGAGAATAATGCCTATGATCGTATAATAGTGAGTTGAAAACCTATTGAGCAAAAGACATAGAAATAATTATGTTTTGACTTTCTTAGAAAATATGAAATTATCGCTTTAAAGGAACACAACGTGAAGTCTATTTGGAGATTAAGGATTCTGAATGCCATGACGAAGGATTGATAGTGTTTCACATTCTTTTTGCTGCCGTGACAGAGAATATTGCTACGTAGTAGTGATCATGTCGATCGTAGCCTTAACTTTTCTGTTCGTAAAAGCGTCGTCCCTAAGAGCAAGCACAAGAAGAAGAATAGCGCCTGGGAGTTCACAAAGCATTCTCAGAAAAGTTAAGAATTTATTAAGCTTCCAATATATTTGATGCAGCACGTACAATTTACAGGAGTGGCGGTGACTCAGTGGTGATGTTTCGGGTTCGATTCCAGTGTTGGCCGAGGAAATTCCTCGTGTTTTTCGGACTCGCGGATTCCACTTGTTCGTGGTTCAGCAAGGCGGGTCTTGCAAGGACAGTATCTAGTCGTTCGGATGCGACAAAAAAAACCCAAAAAAACAAAACATAGGCCCATTGTATAGTTATCGTGCACGTAAAAGAATATTTGTCAGTTGGGATTCGAAATAAAAGTCTGGGCATACTGTATGGCGTATTAACCTCATTTAATTCCATTTTTACAGTTATTTATTAAAATAAAACTCTCAATGAAAATCAAAATTACAATTTTACCTTAAAAGTAAAATTTATCCCTCTCTCGCTTGCTTCCAACAGTATAATAAATCTATCAATGTTTAGGCATGTTTTTATTTATACAAGTATTATTGGTAAGAATGGCTATTACGTAGATATGTACGTCATTGAATTTACGGGGTTCCGATTGGGCCTTTGCGACCAAACCACATACCGTTTTACTACGCCTTATAATAAAATCCCATTGAAATAAACTAGTTTGAAAATATGTTTGTTTATTTCATACTAGTCACATGACCATGTATCCAAATTTCAGGCTGGAAATTCTGAATGTAGGCTTACAAAAGGGTAATTGTCGATTCCCATACTTGTATATGTAAGAAATTGTTTTTATACTCCCTCTCCAATTTCTGTCTTGCGATAAATATCACTAAGGATATCCTCATATCTTAGAAAAGATTTGAGATTATCCTTAGTTGATACACCATCGGTAAAACAGAATATGGACAATCACGAGAACAGAATATATGACGTAAGTTGCGGTTATCTTCCAAGTTCGACAAGTACATCATATAGAATCGGTTTAAGACAAGATATCTGTAGAATGGGATTACACACATCCTTGATTCCCTGGCATGGATACAAACCTCTACATTATAACTATGTTGGTCAGTCAATAAACCTGTTCCTGGAAAGGCGTGAACAATACCGTACCGAATCATGTGTTTTAGAGTCACGTGACTTCTTTTATCCTTCCGACTGCTTGCTTGACTAAAGCGTCTTATAACTGTTTTATTATTTAAGAGAGGCAAGTCAAACCCGTTTTGAAGTAAAACATCAGCAATTTGGAAATCTTCTTCGTCGTAAGCGAGATCTAGTAACGAAACACCATCTATCAGAAAATTGACTGAATCGATGTGTTTGATCAATCTTTGAAGCCAGTCACAGTCGCGATACTTCACTGAATAATATATGAAAGTTCTAAATACTGATTGATCACGATACTGGTCGATACAATCCTGTATTAAAATATCCACCATTTTGTGATCCTCGTTGCGGTAAGCGACTTCAAGAAACGAAATATCACCGTTCAGAATATTGATGTAGCTGTTATGTTTTAGCAATTTTTGAACCCAATCGTAATCACCATGTTTTACTACATTGCATACTAAAGTTGTAAACGCGGTCTGGTTATGATTCTGGTCCATACAACCCTGTATTAAATGTCCATCAATCGCGAGTTCTTGATATTGAAAGCTTCATCTAGTAAGGACACATCAAAGGCGACGCCGTATTCGATTATTTTTTTCATCCACTTTAAGTCACCATACTTTACAGAATACGAAAGCAGACACATACGACAGTGCTCGTCGAAGGAATCGAGATTTGTTGTTTTAGATAACATTATGTTCCCTATGGTAGCGTTATCACAAATAATAGCCAGGTGTAATGCAGTATTGCCATCCGGGTTACAAAGTGTAACGTCTATTCCACATAACACGAGCAATCGAACAACTTCAATATTCTGGAATCGGACAGCATGGTGTAATGCTGACTCTTTGAACCCTTTCGTCCTATTTAGTTCACTCCAGCTGTTTATCAGCAATCTAGCAATGTCTAAATTATCTGCTGAAAGGATGAAAGCTGTGTTTCCAGTCTTGTCGGAGTGTTCTGGTTTTGCAGGGGAATACCCATTATTCAACTAACATATCTACACAATTTGTATGATGATTGTTGATAGCTGTAAGCAGTGGAGTATTACTGCATATAAATCAGTATATTCAATGTTGGCCCCGTGTTTCAGCAACGACATAATACTCTCAGAATCACCATCCTCACATTTTCTCAGCAATGCTCTACATGTACTATTTGCCATTGTCTTGGTAATGATTCTTTTGATATTTCTCTCTCCACATATGTAGAACCACTTTTACTAAAAAAAAACAATTTTACTCTTCTAATATCGTATATCTTAAACTAGAAACAGGGTCAATGAGCATGGTAACTAATAAGGGTTTGGGATTAGATCAATAAAATTACCAAATTTCAAGTAGTATTGTTCTTAAAAAAAAAACAACGACAAAACATGAGAACTCTAAAATTGTTTATATTGACGGTGTGGTCCTACCAGTTATTGTGAATGATATCTTATATTGTCGCCTATAATGTTTATGATTTGTGCATTGTGGTATATCATTAACTATCTCTCATTTCTATGGACGACAAACAACTTTCCTGGATTATTTAATAGTTCCATTCATTGATTATTTCTTTTTATAATATATGTTTATAATATATTATTGACGTCATAAATAACGAGTTATGCGCCCCTTATGGCTCCAACTGGGTTATTTTTTGTTCTGAGTGGAAAGTGATATTTCTCTTGATTTCTCAAAGTGTGATATGTGAAAATTGTGTATTGATTAAATAAGAACTATGTGATTAATGAGTTAAAAAATTGGATAATTTCTAGGAGTATTCTTTGGATTATCATATTTTCAAGTTTTTGGATAGAAAACTTCAGTTTAATGTTGACATGTTTTTGCTATTTTTAGCATCTGATCTGTCAGTGTTTACACTAATCTGAACAGTAATAAGTTTTTGTGAACTGTCAAGATTAACTACTATTTGGATTAAGAATGGAGTTAACAGTGTTATGACTTTGATGTGAAGCCTGGTATGATCACCTACTCACGAAAACAACTTTTTAATTTAAAGAGACACTCTGAACTTTCAACTAAGATATTTAATTTTGAAACATTGAAAGACTTTAATCTTTTGAGACCATTTAGAGGTACTAGGGGTGGTAAATCAAAGAATTCTACTAATAAAAGACCACTAAATAATCTTGAATCTTCTCGATGCTCTGCAACGGAATCAGCAGCTGCTGATGCTAAATCTTTAAAAGTATTTCTACTCAATAGTCAGTCATGCCGTAACAAAACCCTAGACTTGGCAGATTTAATTCTAGATGAAGGACTTGATGTCTTGTTTCTGACGGAATCCTGGCTAAAGGAATCTGGAGACAATGCTAAAATTTCTGAGCTAACACCGAAAGGTTATGATCTCCACCATAAACCTAGACTAAATCGCACAGGTGGTGGCATAGCTGTAATATTTAAAAATACTCTTAAACTTGAACTCTTTGATAACACTTTCTGGAC